TTTTGACATATTTTTTTAGTGACAGTGATACCCAAGATCCTCAGTTATGTGCTTTCTATTGGTATACAGCAAAACTCAGTGCTTTTTATCATGGATAGTTTTCTATGTGCCTTTTGGGCTGTAGCAAGGAAGAAATGGAGGTAAAGTTCTTATCGCTGGATAGCCTTGTTTTGACCAGATTCACATCAGAGGGTGTAAGTCTGTCTTTGCATTATAAGAAAATTGAAGTATATTGCTAGGACTTAAGATTCCATTAATAATTAACCAAATCACAATTGTCATTCTTCCTTATGTGGACTGTCCTTACTGTACAAAAGATACAAAAATTTTGAGAGTAAATCCATCAGTGTATTGCAATCTTTTAAGATTATCACTTGTCTTTGCTAACTTTGTATTTTTACATTGGCATGAGAAAAATAAATATTTAATATCCCTGTGAAATGTGCTAAAACTTGGGGTTTTTTTTAGGTTTTCCTGAAGTTAAAAGATTGGGAGTGGGAAGAGATTAAAATTAGCATCTTGGAATACAGATGAAATCTGTTGCATGAAGGCGACTTGTGTTATTTTATTGCTATATATGCATCACATTAGAAAAATAACTGGTATTAATAACCAGAATGACTTCTTTTCCTTTATTTTAAAGATTTTTTTTTTAATTACACCAATCTCACTTAAGATGTTTAGAAACAAGAATATAACCATTTTAATCAAACAAAAAGCCCCAAAACGTTGGATTGATACTTTGGATGATAATTCTTAATTTACAAAGGAATGGCAAGAAAAGTGTTATAGGACAGCTGCTGTTGAGTAGGCACTAAGGTCTACAGTTGGCCTTCTGGTTCCTTGCATCAAAAGCACTTCCCAATGCTGTAGTGTCGTTCTTAACATGCCCATCATCCCAATTTTGCTTTCATTCTCTTTCAGTTCACAAGGCTGTAGATGTCATATTTATTTTATTGTTCTAATTTGTCCATAAACTGTCCTTGAGAGCAAATGGTTGATATTGGATATTAGAAGGGCGTTTAGCACACTGAAGGCTCCAGATGAGAGATTTTTGAGCTGGGAGGAGAGATGTTTTTGCAGCACGCTTATTCATGAGCACATGCAGTGCACTCTTCATTCTTCACTGTCTTATTTCCATGATCTGTACATTACTGAGCCTTGGCTTGGTAGGGTCTCTGAAATCAACATCTCTTCTCATGACTCTTGATAGAAGAGGGGAAGTTGTAATTTCTCATATTAATCATGCATCTAAAGGGAATGAATGTGCCAGCAGGAAAGTGCCAAGTTTCCATTGCACAACTGTATCCTTCATTTTACCAGTCTTTTCCATTAACTGACCTTAGCTGGTTTGCCAAAACCACAAAGCAGTTGGTTTTTGTATCCTTAATAATAATTTATCTGTGAGGAAAAGGAAGAGGCAGGCACAGTAGCTATCAGTGCAGCTGAAGAATGTATCTTCCCCTCACCCCCTTCCTTGAAAGCCAGCTATTTTCTGTTCCAGCCTCCCCTTTAAATTAATAACCTGTTAAGCTTCTGCATCTGACTTGCTTATTCTGAATTGTCCTTGGGTAAATGTTTAACTGTTAAAGAGAGAAATTTAGTTTTTGGGTTCGTGTAGTCCCACAACTCAGGTGCTCTGGAGCAAGGCTCCAGATCTCTTTCCTCATTTGGAAGTTCCTCTAATCATTTCAGATCTAAAGGATGAAGATACTTATTTAGTCAAGGTGTTATTACCTAATTTGGGCTATCCATGTGCAATAAGTAATAGCTCAAAGGGAAACGCGAAGCCCAGCCCATGGGGAGGAACAGCCCCAGCACAAGCAGGGGGCAACCATCTGGAAAGCAACTTGGCAGAAAAGGAACAGGTCCTCCTGATGGGCACCAAGTTAAACGTGAGCCAGCCATATCCCCTTTCTGCAAAGAAAGAAGATGGTATCCTGGGCTGCATTAGGAGGAATGTTGGCAGCAGGTTGAGGGGAGTGATTCCACTCTTATATGCAGCACTGGAGAGGCCTCACCTGGAGTCCCAGTCTGGGCTCCCCAGTAAAAGAGAGACATGGACACATACCAGAGAGTCCAGCAAAGGGTGGGAAGATTAAAGGGCTGATGAGAAAAGGCTGAGAGTATTGTTCATCTTACAGAAGGCTCAAGGAAAAACTTCTCAGTGTATACAAAGGGGACAGAGCCAGGCTCTATGGTGCCCAGTGTGAGGACCAGATGCAATAGGCACAAACTGATCCACATCAGGAAACGCATTTTCACTGTGAGGGTGGGTGACCAAGTGTTCGTGCAGGGTGCTCAGAGAGGTTGCATTCTTGGAGATGCACAAAAGCCTCTGGGAGGTGGTTCTGGGCAGTGTGGTGACTGCTTGAGCAGATGAACCTCATCTGGTATCTTCCTAACTCACCTGTTCTGTGATTCTGTAATAAGCAGTATCACTGCTAGAAAAGCTGGAATAATGTAAGCTTTGCTTTTTTTCTTTTAACTAGGGATACAAAAAGTAGGATTAATGTGTAATAGTAGTGGTTTACAAGCTATGCAAATTGGTGATAATTTAGAGAGTTTAAACATGTTTGTAAAATGAATAAGTGTCAGTAGTGTATTGTGAAGAGAATGATGGTTCAGCTTCACAGAAAACCAAGTAACTAATTTGCCTCTGTACCTCTATCATTATCAGAAAGGATCCTGAAGCAAGATGTGCAACCCCTCCTAAATGACTTCTGAATACAAGTAAAGGTGGAACACAAGCCTGTACTGCCGAATTATTGCATTTCTGTGTTCTGTTGTGTACTTTGCTGCCAGAAGCTGCTGTTTTACTTGTAGCACCTACGTCATACTGTTCTATTCAAGATTAACGGGTGGTACCTGTGATGTGAAACTTAATTTGTAGCATGACAACAAAAACAAGTTTTTATTAACTGTAGATTTGTAGAAGAGCACTTGAGAGCAAGAAAATTATCTATGCTTCCAAAAAAGTGCTCATTTTTCCTACTTTAAATACTTTGTTTTCTTGAGATTTAGTGAAGTTTCTGGCTTTTGTGTATGACTTTATGGATATTTTAGATCATTTTATGAACTAAATATAACCATTTTATATTATTTTCAACCCAATAATTTCAGTTTTGAAGTTTGGCTCTTAAGGAATTGGGTGGAGATTGAGGGGGAGAAACTTCTTACCCATAGCATACACTGCATTAGCAGCAGCAGCTGTATTGCTCCCTGCTTCTCTGTTCTGCAAACTGGCAGTGCTCAGACTGCAACCTCATGGTCGCAAATGTGCTTAGAAGTATTGGTAATGTAGCATGACAGAATCTATTTATTTTCCTGCTGTATATATGAATGTTGCTTTATAAGCAACCTTTATCATATGTAGTATGTCTGTTTACTTAATATATATAAATTGGGATATATTATAGGTACCAGTGTCTTCAGAGGAAGAGCCCTTGGCCTTGAGAATGATGTCTTGAAGAGGGATACTTAATGTGGAGATGTCTGTGTTAGCCCTGAACTTCAGTGTCTTGATGAAGCATTTCAGGCATGTCTGAAAGAACATTCAGTTGTGTCAGTTTAATCTCTGCTAACACAGACGGTTGATAGGGAATGGTGCTGTGTTTGATTAGATACTCCATGATCATCCCACTGCCAGCTCTATTTAGAGATGTTTGGAGATTAATATATTAATTTAATATATTAATGAGCTAGCATAGAACAGAAAGTAAATTGGAACTTCTGCAGGAAGAATTTAAATGGATAAAAGTTTATCTTATGTAGAATTAAGCTGCTGTCACCAGGAATCACTGAGGCTTTTAGTACAGATTGTCAATAAGGCCACACCTTCCCGTGTATTAACATTTTAGACTGAATTTAAGAACAAAAGTTGTAACTCCTTACTTCACCAGTTTCTAATATGCATTTTTTTGGAAGGACAAGAGGTCTGTGCTACGGAATTATGATCATGTTGTTTTTGATGATCTGCATTTTTGAAAAAGAGCATGTTGGCACTGATTTCCTTACTTAATACCTCTTTTTGAAATTTTATTATTTAACATGAGTCATTTCAGGCAGGTTGAGTGAATATCAAGATAAGATTATTGACTTCCTGTTGGTTATATAAAACTGCTGTTGGGTGACACTGTTGAAAAGAAAGTAAAGACCAAGTTTGGCCTTAAGTATTTCAATATGAGAATTTCTGGCTTTCTACAAAGGAACTGTAGCTCTGGGTAGTTTGATTTGGGGGTTTCTAAAACAATTCAGGCATATCAAATGGAACTGGACATAAACTAGTATCAGTCATTTGTATAAATCAGTTAACGTAATAAAAGTAAAGCAAAATATTTGGATTAATCTTTGAGAAGAGGCTGAAATAATTTTCTGTTGTGTTTTCACCATACTGGGAAACAGAATTAGATATGCTGTGAATGTAAATGTCATAATTGTTTGGCAGAAGAGTGTAGTTATTTGCAAAAATATCAAAGTTACTTGAGTTTAAAACATTGACAAAGTAGAATGAAGAGATTTTCTGAGCTCCAAACTGTGTAAAAGTAATTTGTACTTGCTCAAAGCCTACTTGTACCTCCTGTATCAACACTCAGTTTCTGATACTCTCTTGCTGGTATACATATTGTCTTAGGTGATTTGTTAGGGATGTGGATTGGATGTATATAGATGACAGCAATTTTCCAAAAATAATTTGTTTGCAGTATTGTGTGTGTTTTTAAACAGTATCCATATTTTTGTCCTTTCAATAACAGAGTTCCTTAAAAAGGTAAGTTGCAGCTATGATTTCAGTATTTGTTTTTCTTCACAGGATGCTTACACAGAACATATTTTTTTCTAATCCATGGCTTGTATTTAGTATTAATAAAAATATCTCTATTTGTGCTGAAATGTTTGATACTCAAAAAAATTTCATTCTCTTTATACCAAACTTCCCTGAGCATTTGTCTTTTTGTTATAGGTTTTTTAGAGAGAGTGTTTATTTTCTTGTTTTTTTGTAGCAAATTCTGAAATCGAGGTCTCTGTGTCTGCAAGAAATGTGAGAAGGTTGCTTAGTTTCCAGCGATACCTGAGATCTTCCCGTTTTTTCCGTGGTATCACTGTTCCAAATTCTTCAAACATTTTAGATGATGATTATAATGGACAAGCAAAGGTTGGTTGCTTGATTTTTATTTATTTAAAGTATGTTTTTCTAAATGCTTGCTAGTATATGTATCACATACTAAAGGTGCGACTAAATACCAATTTTAGGCATATTGTTTTTTAAGCATGGGTATGTGTATTTTTTTTTTTTTTATATACATATATGTGTATGTATGTATATATTGTAATGAAATCCAGGTAAAATTTCATGGTTTGTAGAAAGCTCCTCTACTGCCCACAAGTTTACTCAGATGAAGGCTAGTGTATTTTTGTTATTGTTGTTTTGTTTCTTTGGGTTTTTCTTTTGATAGCTGGTGAATTAAGGATGCCTTTGAATAATTTAGGAAAAAAAATGAAGAGAGGAAAATGTATCTGTATTTAAGAAATGCAGTGGAGCAATTTAGACACATGTTTGCTTTGATTTTTTTAGGCTAACCTCACTAGTGAACAACTGGGAAAGTGACTGCCAAAACTGAATAAAGTGCAGTGAATGGTTTTCTCAGGACATGCTTATGTCAAACTGACTCTTTCTTTGGTAGGCACTTCTAGAAAAGAAAAGTGATAGCTGTAATACACTTGTGCAGCACTAAAGCAGGGAAAGTAGATACTGGGAAGAGAGATGTTGCTAAGGGAGCAGCCATGTGGATGAGGGCTGCTGTATTTGTGAGTGAGGATGGGCAGTGCTGAAGGGGACTGAGCAGGCAAAGATTATTCAGGTTATTCAAGATTCCAAAGGCTGTGTCACTACATGTAGTGCTTTTTTGTCATCTGACACAGAAAAATAATATACTTATAATACAATGGATGTATCCATGCTCAATATCATCATGCTGTGGTGTAGGAAGAAATCCGATAACCCAGAGAGTGGATCTTAAAAATGTACATATAATTTAATCATAAAAAGTTAGTGTTAATGCTTTTGTTTCTTCTGATAGCAGAGTTCTAGTAGCTGGTAGAGAAAAGCTAGAACCTATAATTGGATCACAAAACAACTCTACCAATCTAATGAGAATAGGAGAAGGCAGGAATCTGTTGTAAAATGTGCTGGACAGGTATTTCTGATACAGGTAGGGGAGGCAAAGACTGGGACTGCTCAACTCTGGTGAGGCCTCTTGTACTGTTTGCTATTCTTGCTCATCCCTGTAGCAGATAGAACAGTTCATGTGGAGCAGCTGGGATAAAGACGTGCTAGTTCAGTCGGGTGAAAAGTCAAAAGCCAGGTTCTTAAATTAAAACACTCATACAATGGCTCAAATGCCCAGTGAATCATCCAGATACTGTTCTATGAGCAGGGGAAAGAAAGAAAAGGGAAAAGTCTACACAGAGATTAATGGTCTTTTTATTTGTAAATGTGTGATGTTTTTCAGTTATCAGACACATTTCATTATTCTTTTACTATTTTTTAATATATAGAAATTGTAAAGATTTGATCTGTCCCTGAAATCCTAAATACTCCAAGCTGCAAGAAGATAGGCATATACTGATTGAAAAATGACAGCTCTTTTGTTTCTTTTCAGTGTATGCTGGAGAAGGTTGGAAATTGGAATTTTGATATTTTTCTTTTTGATAGACTGACAAATGGTGAGTTGACTTTCGGTGTTTCATTTGTGCTTCATCTTTTAGTATAACTTAACTGTTGCACTTATGTTGCAGTGTCACATGTGATTGTTCACTAAAAACTGTAAATTCCAGGTAGTACTTTTTGATTTAATAGTATTTAATATGAGTCCTAGTTTGCCTGGTCACTCCATTAAAATAATGATACTGTCAGTACTGATACTAATCACTGATTTGTAGAAGAGGCCCTTGATGTACTTTATAGGTTGCTGTTCTCTTAGTAATTTATAGTAGTAATTTGATACAAATTAACAAATAATTTTATGATCTTGGACTTTTTTTTTTCAGTTATGGATGCTGGTAGTTTTTATGGTTGTGTCCAAAAGATGAATGTATTTGTTTTGGTTTAGGGCAAATTTGGGAGAAAACTTCTAATGGGCCCCCCTCCCAGGAAGCAAACTCACGTGGCCCCTTTCTCCCACCTCTCAACCGGTTTGGGAAGAGATTTCTCTGAGAGAAGTGGAAAAAACTTGTTTATTTCACAGGCACAGCACTACCCAGCACAAGAATGAAAGATATCAAATTACAAAACTTTTTGCCATTTTGAAGAGATGACAAACTTCAGAGGGTCTCTTTCCTGGGGGTGTTCGCTCTGTTATCAGTCCCTCTGGGGCTGGAAAATGCCGTTGCTCAGGCTGGGCTCCCGGTAGTTTATGGGTGTAAGCTCTCGGTGGTCTTTCGAGTTTCTAGTTCAGAGCAGGTTCAGTTTGTTTTAAAAAAAGCAAAAGAAAACAGTCCAGGAGGACCTCTCTGCTCTGGCTAGCTGGAAAGCCAAGGCGATCTGTGTCTTGTTGCTTGTCTGTGCTGTAGTCAAAACAAAGTAATTGCTACCTCAGTACAATCAGTACAAGGTTTTTCTACTCTCTCGTGCCACGGGCTGGGCGCCAATGAATGTATTTGTTTTGGTTTAGGGCAAATTTGGGAGAAAACTTCTAATGGGGCCCCCCCCAGGAAGCAAACTCATGTGGCCCCTTTCTCCCACCCCCCAACCGGTTTGGGAAGAGATTTCTCTGAGAGAAGTGGAAAAAACTTGTTTATTTCACAGGCACAGCACTACCCAGCACAAGAATGAACGATATCAAATTACAAAACTTTTTACCATTTTGAAGAGATGACAAACTTCAGAGGGTCTCTTTCCTGGGGGTGTTGTCTCTGTTATCAGTCCCTCTGGGGCTGGAAAATGCCACTGCCCAGGCTGGGCTCCCGGTAGTCCACGGGTGCAAGCTCCTGGTGCTCCCCCGAGTCCCCAGTCCAGAGCAGGTTCGATTCGTTTCAGATAAAGGGAAAGAAAACAGTCCAGGAAGACCTCTCTGCTCCGGCTAGTTGGAAAGCCACGGCGATTTGTGTCTTGTTGTCTGTCTGTGCTGTAGTCAAAACTCCCGATGCGGGGGGAGCAAGTACAGGCTCTGATAACAGACTCAGTGCTTCTTTTCTACTCACTTTTACTCTTAGATGAAATTTTAAGAATACAAAATCTGTGTCTGGGTTAGGTGGACGAATGGGGATACAATTTAACATCATAACCAACTCAGGATAGTAATTTATATTGAATAAGTATTTTTCCGATAAATGTAGTGTTAGATGGAATAGTTCTATTGCTCTTTAGTGCCATAAGAGGCACATTGGTGTTAATCCATTATAATTATGACATAGAATACCTAGAGACTTGGGAATTAAGCAGAGGGAAGCTGCTGTACACATATCTTGCACAACTTAGGAAAAGGAAGAGAACATTTCGGTGACTTTTGTGTGCCCATACAAATAGCAGTAGGAGCTACAGGAGTAGTTGGTTAAAAAAAACCCTAAGTATTGTTCATTTGTAGGGAAAAAAAAGATCTGTGAATGTGCTGGGAAGGAGGAGAGAGGGCTATTGCAGTGGGTAGGATGGTTTTGCATTATAATCTCAGCAATGGCAGCTGGGTTTTGAATGGAAGGAGGAGATGAGCAAGTCCAACATCACAGTGACATTTGTGCCAGTGTGGGAAGAGAATAGAGGGCAGCTCTTGCAGATTTTGTAGCAGTCATGTGGAAAAGGTAGCAGAGTTGCAATTAAAGTTGCCAGAACAAGAAATTAAGTTCAAAAAGCAGAATGTGGCACCTAAAGATCTTTTTCTCTTCTGTTTTATTGAAGGGGTGCTGGACTTAACCAAGTGTAAAAGTAGTAAACTCACAGTTACATTTAATACAGAAAATCGGTAGGAAAAAATGAAAATAGCAAGGACTTGTACAAATAGAATGCTTATATAGGTAATGATAAACTTTACATAACTGCATGAGGAAAAGCTATACGTACAAGTTAACATGTAAGCATAGCTACTTTTGGATTAGCTTGTCAAAAAAGTTGTCCTTCTCTGAAGAGCCCTTTCTACCTTTTATACATGCTTTTTTCAAAAGTACCTACCAGAAGAGCTTCTATTGTGGCTGCCTTACGATACCACCATCCATTTTGCATCCTAATTAAATAATTTTTGGAGGACATTTGGATCAGGCAGCCTTGTTCTTGAAAGTTTGGAAGGGCAGAATGCTGTATATAAAACTCTGCTGGATGAGGTGCCCTGGATGAGCCTCTATGAAAGAACTTCCCCAGTCAATGTTGTTCCAAGAATTGCGTATTTCCTTGTGATGAGGTGGCATGTACATGAGAATACATTAATTCTAGCCTAGTAATAAGCTTGATTTGCAAGGAATTTCTGTCTTTTTGTATCTCAGTTTCTGTCTCTGCTAGGTTCTATAATGCTAAATTAAGATTGGCAGCCATGATATTGTTTGCAGAGCAAATAATGGACAAGCTATTTCAAATAAACATTGTGGACAGTTTATCTTTTTATTTCACCACTGCAAAAGATTATAATAAAGCTAAGAGTAGGTGAAATATATTATAAGCTTGTAATAGTTTTAACAATACTTAGGGCCCTTTTTTGTAGAGTTCTGTGTGAAATAAAAAGTCCTGCAAAATATATGATGAAAATTAGAGATAGCATATTTGCAAAGTGCTCTAATCAATAGTGTTGTCTAACTTTTCTCTTTGCCTGATTATATTTGTATTTTGTGTATATGTTTGTGATATGTTGCATAAATATAATTATAAAATTAAATATCTTTATAATGGATTTGCATGTTGAAACATGTTGGTTTTTTAATGTTCAGTAACATTTTCTTCTGTCAGTTGCCATTGGACAGTTGGTGAATGCATTAGAATTAAGCAAAATCACTGCTTACTAGAGACAGCTAATGGAAACTTGTCATGCATTAAGATTTAAATATTTATAAATGGTGTAGAATATCATGACTTGGTGTAGAGAAGTTTGCTTGTATAATTTTTGTGACCAATTTGTTTGAAATAATACTTTTCTTATTATATTCCAATGAATTAGTATTTTCATCTTATTTTTAGGAAACAGTCTAGTCAGCTTAACCTTTCATCTGTTTAATCTACATGGACTAATTGAACACTTCCAATTAGATACGATGAAACTTCGTAGATTTTTGGGTAAATACAGCTTTTTATTTTGATGAATATTGTTGTTTATCTGCATTTTTATACTTTAAATGAAGTCCTGGTTGTAGTTTAGCAATAAGGTTTAAAGGATACTGATGCAATCTACATTGTGCAGTGATTTAAATTATATTGAGATGATCTCTCCAAGTTCTTAGGAGTATAGAATATTCCATGTTAAATCTAAACAAGTATTAACAAGTTTAATAGTTTCATGGGCAATGCTGTATTTTATTTATTAAATTTATTTATTATCTATTAAACAATCAGGAATATATGTGACATTGTGTGACATTTGTATTGGGAAAGGCTAGACAGCTCCTTTCTTGGTTCTGATTTCTAGTTCTGTATTGATCTTTACTTGTTTCCAATTATATAGTTCCCTAACTGTATGGAATATATCAAAAATATTTTCTGGTGCCAATTTGGTGTTGTTTCAGGCTTTCTCAAATTCTTCTAAAAGTAAGCGTTGTATACTGTGGACATGGTTTCTCCGTAGATGGAGTACAGGACAATTTTAATTGAGTGTCTGGGCCTGTGTCACTGGAATGCTTCTTTGGAAAGAATTGTAAATACAATGTAGAATATTCAAACCAGGTTGTACATTCACTTGACAGATCTGTCTGCGTCCCAGTACATAGACAGGTGCTGATGTGAGACCACCTTCCTTTGGTTCTTCTGTGACAGTACCTTTAATTTTGTTATAGGAGAATTGTGGTGGGTTGATTTTTTTAACTGAGCAGGAGAAACAAATTTTTGGTCCCCTTCAGCAGTTTTTCCACTGTTTCAGAGAAAACAATTCTGTGGTTACAAAGCTTGTCACTTAACAGGGGAGAAACTACATTTGGGAGTCTTTTCTCCCTTTTCAAATATTAGGATCTTTTTGTTTTCATAATTTAGTTCTTCAGTTAAAAAAATATCAGTTCTGTCCTGCATTTCATGTTTTAAAGTGAAATAAATTTTCTCCAGTTTCAGGAATGTTAATCAGCTGACCTTAATGACTGATATGTTGGAATGGAGGGAAATTATTATAGAAATCTGATTTTTAGGCTACACAAGTTCTAACTGAATGTGGTTTGTTTTTCTCATCTGGTTAGTTGACATTATGCAAATTATAATACTTGAAAAACCAGTTAGAAATTACTGGCTTGGTTAACTGGTTATCATAAGATGATGACACTACATATGACTATTCAAAGTTATAATCTACTAAAAATGAGATTAGACTTTGAAGAAGGCAGAATTTATTCTAAATTTGAAATTCAGTGCCTTTCCTTTTTTGTTAATGCCTTCTACTTACTTAGTATCAGTAAAAAGCTCTTAGTCCATTGTAAAATCAAGTAACCTTTCTTCCAAATACAGCTTCTTAGCATGAACAAAATTCATTGTTTTCTCTTGCTACCTCTTATTCTCTAATCCATAGAAATCTGAAGATCAAATTCCACAAGGCTAGGAGAGCTCAGATGGTCCAGGACCACACAAAATTTACATTATATGAGACTGTACTGGAATCTTATAAGTAGAAAAAGCTGATTTTAGTCCCCTGTAGGATCTTGGCTTTTTTATTTGTTTATGTGTATATACACACACACACACACACACACAGAGTCTTTCAGTGATTTCCATCCTCTACTTGGAGATCCGCATTTTCTTACTGTGTCTTCACAGGTTCTTATTCCAGACTTGAACCAGGGAAGAGAAAATGCAATGTTGTGCTATTCCAGTTCTGGAAGGTTGTGATCAAAATGTTGACCTAGGTCTGCTTTAATAACATAAGTAAGTTAGGAAAATTGTAAAGTTCAGGTAGCTGGATTAGCCTATGAAACCACAAAATAATTAAGAAGAAAGCCAGGGATATATGCCATTAATGCCCTTGATGTGAGGTATCGGTGAGAGAGGGTTCTGCAGGTAATAAAGCTCAAAAACATTTATATTGATTTTCATTTTTGATATGAGCTGTAAGCTATCCATTGAGTTCTATTGAGATTACATGGTGGTGACAGTATTTTCATTATTCATGGACCACAGCTCTTCACAAATACCATGTCAGTAATGCTCTAACATTACACTCACAATTTCATGGATCCTTTGGGCTTGTAAACTAAGTAGAAAAGCTTGTGGGCATGTTTGGTAGGACTGACACACTGTAGTCAGACAGGAAAATGTTTTTTGAGGTTTGCTTGGAAGAATTAATGTGTCAGGCAAAACTTTAGAATATAGTTTGATTTGTGTTTTAGATCTTCCCCTCCATCCTTTATAGCATTATAGTTTTTTCATTCCCTGTACTTGGGCTAATGTTGATGCCCTTTAAGGAATTCTACCTATAATGGTCAAAGACAGCCAGGAAGATGGAGGAAAGAGGAGGAAAGCAAAGAAGTTAAATAGGGAATATTGAATCTAGGTATAGTTAGTCAGACCATCATCTCAATGAGATTCTTTTCTAAATTGCTTATGGGCTTTAAGTTTGCCTGCGTACAAGTATGAGAAAATGCCTAAAAATAGAGTTGGTTTTCCATGACCACTTTCCTGAATGGGAAAACAAAGCAGTTCATAGGAAAGCAGTGCTTAATTCCTCTAAAATTCTATCTGTTTTTAGGTCATGATATGAAGTCATCCTAATGGTTTGGTAAACAGCAAAACTTTCATGTTGTATTCAGTGTTGCCTCGCCATTCAGGCAGATTGTCAAAGACAGCCTTCTCTGGGAAGTTGTCAAAGTCAGATTATGTATCAGTCAAATCTCAGATTATATATTGATTCAAGTTTGCTCTGAGGTGACTTTACATGTAGTTGATTTCCTTTAGCAAACACTGTTTCTTTGCATAAAAATCTTACAGCTGCATCGTGGTTCAGCTGACAGTTTATTGACTCTGATGCTTTTATGTATATGTAACTTGTGATATTGCATATTTCTGTACCTAATAGGGGCATATAAAAAGGTCCTTGAAAAAATTGCCATTTTATTTAAATTTGGATGTGTGTTATTTTCCTGCAGTTATGGTTCAAGAAGATTATCACAGTCAAAATCCTTATCATAATGCAGTTCATGCTGCTGATGTGACTCAGGCCATGCACTGTTACTTAAAAGAGCCCAAGGTAAGGCAGCTTTCTCACTTTTACATCACTCATACACACAGAAACATGTGTGTGTATATGCATATGAATGGATTGTGTTCACGTATCACAGAATCATTTAGGTTGGAAAAGACCTCTGAGATCTGGTCCAACTTGTAACCAAACACCACCTTGTCTACTAGACCATGGCACCAAGTGCCACATCCACTTACACACCTTTCCTTTAACACCTCCAGGGATGATGATTCCATTACCACCCTGGACAGCCCATATTGATGTCTAATCACCCTTTCTGTGAAGAAGTTTTTCCTAATGTCCAACCTAAACCTCCCCTGGCACAGCTGTAGACTGTGTCCTCTTTGCTGTTGCTGGTTAGCTGAGAGAAGCTACAACCTCACTTCAGGCAGTTGTAGAGGGCAGTAAGGTCATAGATCCATATATAAATTTACATGCATATATGTATGTGTATATGCACATATAGGTTTTATCAAAAGTAAAGAAACCTAAGAACCCAACAAGAAACACTTCTGAACTCTCCCTTGCCCTCCCTGTTGCTGAGGCTGTGGATTCACACTTAGTATACTTTTCTTTTTTCCCCCCTTCTGAGCTGACATTGTCTTTTGTGTGACTTCCTATTAACTAGAGCAGGGAATTAAAGTTGCAGCTGTTTAACATCGTGCTGTGCCCCAAGACATTCATATAGAATTGCAGCCTGAGTCAGAACTGGCAATAATAAACCTGTGTACTTGTCATCTGGGGTGGTTTTTTTCCTTCCATAAATTACCATTATTCTTGCTTTGCTCATCTTTGCTGTTACTGAACAGTTTGATTGTGCGAGAGGCAGTTCACAGCAATACATCAGGGGTTCTCTTTGACTTTTTAAGAAAGGGTAGAATGAGAGACCTTAAGGAACTAAACTAATTGAGGGTTTGTCCTCACTACTTGGACTACTGTCAGGCTGCTGTAAGTGATGACTTGGACAATTTCAGGGCAAAGCGCTGTCCTTCTATATAAAATTGAAAGCTGTAGTGCACTGTAGCTAGAGAAGAAGTTATCTGCCTTGATGCAGATTATCACCAATCTGGTATTCCCTTGAATAGCATAGCTCCTTATTCTGATTCTGAGGTAAAAACAAGTAAGTTTTGGCTCGATAAAGCCTTTTTCAGAGGCTCTTTGCCCACTCCTCCCACTCAGTTTCTCAGTGCTGCTCTCAGACCAATTGGTGCAGTGAGCCTGATCAGAGCTGATACATGATGAGCTTTCCTATGGCATTCAGTTTGGAAGCTCTGAGCATTTTTTATTTAATACTTGCGATGGAAGTTTTGTGAAGCTTCAGATACAAGTACAGACTTTGTATTTTTAGTAACATATACAGCTGTAGTTCAGTGTACTGAACTGCAGCTCTGTTGCACTAAAGTACGTTACAAACATGTGAGGTGTGATAGATGGCAAATGCAACAGGGAACAAAAACTTCTGTCCTTGCAGGCTGTCTGCTGCAGTTCAGCTTTATATGGACAGAACTGTCCTCTCTGTTTTAGTGCAAACTAGGCTTTATTACTGAGTTCAAACTTTCAAACCTCTCAACCACAAGCAGGAACAGCTATGAACAGTGAAAGTAAGTCCATGTAGATGCATGCTGAGTTAATTGACATGCACATTGAAAATACTTATTTGTGGCAGATTTTCCTCCTTTTTTCTGTTCATGTAGACCTTGGTTCTGTTCATGGTAGACCTTGAAACACAATTTTGCAAGAGTAAAAATACATCCAAAACACTTCTAAGTCTTCCAGAACATTAGTTTCTTACTCTTAGGAGGAAAGGGTTTTCATGCTTTTTAAAATACAGTATGAATTTAAAGATGAATAGACACATACAAATGGACTTGGTAAATGAGAGGGAGAGCTAATTTTAAGAATTTTCTTCTTTTATGGGGTCTGGTGAGGAAAAGCGCTCCATTACTAGACACCATTATGTTTTGTGCTGGCAGTTTTTAAGAATGAACCTTGCCATTCAGAAAGACTAATTCTTAAACATTGTTGAAATTTTGTAGCTTTTTGGGGGAAATACTGTGAAAAGTCAGTGGAATGTTAGTTTTAGATGTTCAAGATTTTCTCCAAATTTCTATTGGCTGTTAATTACTGAAAACCAAAAATGCAACACTCATGCACTTTTTCTAAGGCCATATTGCATTACTAACATTTGTTGGGTTTGCCTTGCAGCTTTCCAAATCTTTAACTCCATGGGATGTCCTGCTCAGTTTAATAGCAGCTGCCACACACGATTTGGATCACCCAGGCGTTAACCAACCTTTCCTAATTAAAACAAATCATTATTTAGCGACTTTATATAAGGTAAGGATAAAATCAATTGTTTTGTTAAAACCAGGTTTGGAGAGAAGTACGGAAAAGAAATGTAAATTGTGATGTGTCTAGCTAGTGGTAGGATTGAATGCAGATGCTGTTTCCATGTCACTGGGATAAAAAACTGTGCAAATTAACTAAGTATTCAGGACTTGTGAGTTTTAACCTCCTTGGGAAAAATAAAAAAGAAGAAAATAAAACACCAACCCCAAACCATAGCCAAATTGTCTGGTGCTGCTCTTGGTTTAAGAAAAAGGCATTGACTGATATGTGTTACTCCCTTTTAATTCACAGAATACCTCAGTATTAGAGAACCATCACTGGAGATCGGCAGTGGGGTTGCTGAGAGAATCTGGTTTATTTGCACATATGTCATTAGAAAACAGGTATGTTTATACCACATAGTATAGATTGGTTTGAGGTACAAGCAATCTGTCAGCTAAGACAGCCCTGCAAAATAAGATATTGCATGGCAATTTTGAGTACAAAATGTAGAGATCTATTCTAAGAATTCCTGGATACAGTGCTGGTAGAGTAGAGCAGTTCATGATGCAACGTGATATTTGGAAAATAACATTTATTGCAAGCACATTGAAGGGGTGTATTCATGTAGTCGAACACCTGTTCAGACTAAACTTGGCAGTCTTTTCTCATTCTGCCACCACAACTGTAGTTTTAAATAGACCATCTTCACCTACTCTTGACAAGCAATAATCTTGAGACAATCAGTTCGTGCATTTTTAAGGAAAAAAAAAGGTAGGGGGAGGAAAAAAGCTAAAAACTGTTTTAGTCTTCCTGAAAGCTGCCAATGAAATATTCTGATATTTCTGTGAATGTTACAAGAATTTTTCAGGAAAAGAAAACAAACAGTTCAGTGAAAATGCTTGTTAAAAAGCTTGTATAATAATAAATATGATGAAAAGCCATGTAGATCTAGTGATGACTGTTGTTCTTAATTGATATATTTCTGAATGTTTGGTGTCATTTATTTCAGGCAGCTGATGGAGAGCCAGATAGGTGATCTCATTCTTGCTACAGACATCAGTCAACAAAACGAGTACCTGTCCATGTTCCGATCCCATTTGGATAGAGGAGATCTATGTTTAGAGAATGCAAACCATCGTCACTTCATCTTACAGGTGATCTTGCTGGTCATATCTTTGAAAACAGCATTTTAGTGTGAAAACGAATCTACTGTAAAATACTAAATACTACTTCTGCCAGATTTTCAAAATGAAGCAGGACTATCTTTTAGTCTTTCTGTTCCATTACAAAAAGGTTGTTCCCTCCAATTCCCACAGCCAGCACTTCTCTCAAGTAATGGTGTGTATTGCTAAGTCTGATAACTTAGAGCTGCTGAAGCAAGATGTTTCCAAAACAAGGTTTAGCTCTTCCAGCAACTCCATTGCGGCCTCAGAACTGTGAAATGCTTTGTCAGAACATATTATGGGGAAGGAAAGCACTGCTGTTGTGAATCAGTTCGCAGTTGTGCTAGTAAGCTTTAGCAAACTTGAAAAACAAAAGCCTTGGGAATCTTTTTAGGTTTATAGGCATTTTCTTACTAGGTTCATATTGTGGGCTATAAGAGGCAGTGGACAAACAGATGAGAAGTTCTGTCTTGTGCAAACCATTGCTAAAAATAGAAGCTTGAGAGCTAGAAATGGAAAACACTGCTTGCTTGCTTTGATGCTTCTTTTTCTGAAGTTATTTTTGTCTCCTGTACCAGTGAGTATACTAAATATAGTGGCCCTGAAATACTTTGTGTTGACTGAATTTCCATATTACTCAGGGATGATCATGAGATCTCACAGTTCCCCCAGGGTGTTTTTTAAATATTACAGAACATAACTTTGGAGCACAAATGGTAGGTAGGTTTGTTATTGACAAAACCTAAAATAATCTGCTATCAGGAATTAATTACAGGCACTTCTGTTGGAAGAAAGGCGATCTAATACTGTGTGTTAACTTGTTAGATGGCTTTGAAGTGTGCAGATATTTGTAACCCCTGTCGGACATGGGAGCTGAGCAAGCAGTGGAGTGAAAAAGTAACAGAGGAGTTCTTCCATCAAGGCAAGTAAGAGTAGAAGTATCTGTTAGTATAAAATGTATTTAGTGTGGAGAGAGCATCCATGACCCCTAGACCATTTATATTTAGCACTAGCAGGGATGTACAGTATGGGATTTTTTTACTTTCATGGGTTGTGTTTCCTGCAAAAGGTCAGTTACTAAAACTCTGCAGAGAATCTGCTTAGAATCTGAACCTGAAGTGGCAATACATCCTTCTGTATAAAGGGGCTCAAGATTAATAATTATGGCCACTTTGAAATTGCCCTAGCAGTTTCAGAAAATTATGGAGTATGTTCATCATGTGTCTTCAATATTTAAACTTAAGCTCTAAGGCTGGTTGGTAAGCAGGTAAGAGCCAGGGAGGTTTTAGTTACTGTGAGCAATTAATAAATCCTTTAACTGAGAAATGGAGTGAATTTGCTCCATTATTATTAAATTGTTTTACAATACAATTAAGGCTAGTTTGGTGGACTTGAGACCTCCTAATTTGCATGTGAATATGGTAAATGGGGAACATTTATATATTTATTTGATGCTAATTATGTGAGACTTAATCTTAGATAAAGGTGATGGGGAAGCCAGAAACAAAATTGCCTTTAGCAAGAAATTTCTGAAGGCTAAGCTATCCTCTTCCATATTGCTGAGGGGGGATTAGTTTGTAATTTCTTTGACAATGTAGGAGGTTTTGCAAGAAAGAGGATGGTAATCCTTCAGGAAACCTGCGTGGTTCTATGGGGTTTCTGTAATTACTGTTTGATGAAAACCACCAAGTGTTTAAATGCAGTTTTAAGTATTGTTATCTGACAGATCGACTTGGTTTTTGTGAGATGGGAAGTAAATGCACACCACCACCTGCAGGGTAGTGTCCTTGTTAACCAGCACTCACAGCTCACTTCTGTTAGTGTTTGATTTGTTTGGGACTTGATGATTTAATGGTTGCCTTTTACTTTTGTTTCTTTAGGTGATATCGAAAAAAAATATCACTTGGGTGTGAGTCCACTTTGTGACCGACAGACAGAAACTATTGCCAACATCCAGATTGGTAACTGCAATTCAGTTCATTTTAGTAGATTTCTTTCAGCATGCAATTTGAAAAAAAAAAACCACTCTTTGGATACTTTTCCTAGAGGCTGAACAGACTGTGTGTGTGTGTGGCAGCACTTTATTATAAAGAGCAATTTTATTTTTCTTTGCTATATAATATCTCTTGAATTGTTTATGAACGATGCTGCCCTGACAGTCCTGGAGCTTCTGTTTCCTCACAGAGCAGGTACAGTGTGGGAGGCAGCTGTCTGACTTCTCCCACGCTGCTGCCCAGAACTTTCCTCATCTGAAGTGGTATTTGCTGTATAAGTGGAAGAGGAGGGTCCCTTCCCCTTGCCATGTGGTCTCAGATGCCTTTTGCAGAGAGCTTGCCACAACTGGGCATGCTGGGTTTAGCTTTTTGGAATGTCAGCATTCCCTTTAAATGCAGCCTTTAAGGAGGGTGGTGGGCAGAGATGTGATGGAGAATGGTGGATAGCCATTATATTAATAGTTGTTGCTAACCTGACTTGGATTTCAATAAAAATGTCTTTTTATAGCTAATAAAAGTTGATTGTGGAGGTGAATTGGGACTTAAAACTTAAAAACATAGTAAAAGAAAAGAATAAATTTAATTACAAGCAGACTATGAATTAATGCCTTAGACTGACACAAAGCTGATGTGTTCAATCCAGCTGCAGTGTTAGAATTTAGAATGCTAGGAAAACATATTGTTTAATTAAAATACTCAGTTTTGGTTATCTTAGCATTGAATTTTTGTTTCATGGAAATAGCCATTACAAATAAATGAACATGTGCATGCACACCAAGTACATCAATGTGTTGTTTTGTGGCTTTGTTTAACAAATTTCTAAAATTTGTATTTTGAAGTATTTTTAGTCACCCTAATATTGTGAAAATAATGTGTTCTTTTTTCCCCCCACGTAGTATAATTCATACACTCTGTGGGTAATTAATTATAAAATCTTTTAGAAATTTACGTTTTCTAAATTGTGTGACTTAGTTGCTGATGTTTAGATTTCTCTCTCCCTCCCTATTGTCCAGTATTTGTCTTCATTTGGTCACTGCTGTGAGAGAAAGAAGGTTAATCTGTAATGCAGTGTACTGCTGTCCTTCAGAGTGATTTGTAAAATCTTTCACATTTTGAGAGATTTTTTTGGTAAAGACGCCCAAAATATCTAAATGAATATTTAAATGCACATTGAAGAACAGCAGTTTGACACGTTTATTATTTGCTACTAAACGCTATTTAAAATGTTTGGTTTGAGTATTTTAATTCATCTCCATACTGGTTTTTTTATTTAATCTGCCTCTGTTTGCTTGCTTTTGAAGGCTTTATGACTTACTTAGTGGAACCACTGTTTGGGGAATGGGCCCGGTTTTCCAACACGAGGCTGTCACAGACAATGCTTGGCCACCTGGGACTGAACAAGGCGAGCTGGAAGGGAGTGCAAAGGGAACAGTCGGGCAGCGGTGACGATGTTGACCCCACCTTTGAGGAAATGGACTCAGACATTTTACCTCAGGAACCTCGATTGTCCTGACCTCAATCTCCATGACAAAACTGCCTCTTCCCTCGGTATCTGCACGGTTGGATTAAAGGAGACACATGCCAGCCCAAGGTTTTGGTAAAACGGTAAAATGATGCCAGCATTATTTATTTCCAAGTTTTCCTTTGACACAGACCATTTGACCCAGAATTTTTTTAAGCCGCCAGATCTGAACATAGAGCAATATGCACCCGCCTCAGTTGGTTGTCGTTCGGAACCTCGAATATGCAAAGCACAGCAGTGACCGAGCCTTGGAGCAATGGGACGAAAGCTTCATTGTGCCCCGTGGCTTGGGTTTTCTCATGATATTTGGAATACGGTCTTCAAATCTAAGACTTGACACGGATTATTCCACTCCCTTGGAATTTAGCAAGACTTGCATAAATGTGTTTAAAGCATACCTTCCACTCAGTCCCTGTTTTAATACGGAAATGTGAAGTGCCCATCCTCTGCTGCCTCTGGCAAGACTTGATGTTTACAAATGTACTCTGAAACTATCGGTTCTAGACTTAACCTTTGCGCATGGCTGTGAAGGAACCACTAACTTGGGTTTTTTGCTTTTTTAAAAGAAAAAGATCAAATCTGAGACTGCAGCTCTTGTTTCTTTGGATGCCAGAAAAGCCTCCCATTTGCCATAATTTTGTTTGTGCACTGGGAACTGAGCATTCATCATAGAGCACAGCCAAGCTTTACTCCAGTGCTATATGGGAATGCAATTTTTTAACGGCAAAAAAAACACTTCTGAATCTGGGAAGGGAAGGGTGGGGGGGGAAGCGTCCGAACTGCATTGCGATTCTGCAGTGGGAACATCGCATGTTGTTCTCACTATTGTACACTTGAACTGCACATGCAAGAAAAAGGTGGAATGTCTAAACACCATAATCAGCTCAGGGTATTTGCCAATCTGAAATAAAGTGGGATGGGAAGCGTGTCCTTCAGAACAAGGGTACAAATGCCCCTTTCGCTGCAGCGTGTGTGTATGTGTGGGTGTGTGAGTACGTTTGGNGTTTGGGACGGGGGAGGGCGGGAGGGCTCGGGGAAGGGTTTGAACGGCAACATTTTTTCTTTTTGTTTTTTGGTTCTTTTTTTAATTTATTCTTTTAGAATGTGACAATTTCATGAACAGCCACACTGGGGAGGAAACTGTAACAAATTGCTACAGATGCCTTAAACTATGCACAAAGCTAAGTGACCAAATTTGTTTTTGATTTGAAAAAAAATAATAAAAAAAAGTGCATTGTTTACGTATTCCTCCCTCTACTAAAACATTACCCACTGATGGGTTTTGATGGGAAAAGGAGAAAATGTTTTTTAGGGCAAAATTAAAGGACTAATTTTAAACTTAAAACATTCCATTTTTGTAATTTGTTTTACATCGTTTTAAGTACAGTAAGCACAACTGTAATCTAGTTTCAGAAACTGGTGCTTTCTTTTAGTTCATTTGTATTTCCCTGTTATTATTGTAAAAGACTGTTTATTAATTCTGTTTACAGTTTGTTGCAACAGCCATTTTTGGAAGAGAGCTTCAGCGTAAAGCCATTTGTAAAGGCTTTGCCATATTCATTTATTATGTGCCTGTTGCTGTTAACTTTTAATTAATAAAACAAAATCTTTTCACATTATGCTCCTGTACATTTAAGTTATGATTGAGTCCAGCGTTGTGGAAAGGTAGCTAAGGTTGCAGTCAGCTTCCACTGTAAAATTAAGCCAACTTTTGGATTTGAAAATACTAGTCCTCGTATGCCAAAATTTATTGCCTCCTGGAGCTTGGCCTTTTACTGTTTGAAAAGCAAATCCTGACTTACCTGATTGTTTCCCTTCTAAAACTGTTTATTATTCTTTCATGTTCCCTGAAGTAGTATCATTAATCTCAAAGTGGCCATGTTTAAAGAAATAAATTTCTAATGAAACCTGTCTTTTGAGCCTGCGTGAACTTCCTTCGCTGTCAGTACAAGTTCTTGATGTTGACTCCAACAGAGAAGGATCAGATGGGACAATGAGTTCTGGTTGTAATTTTCAGGAGAGAAGAGCCACTTTTAACAGGTTGACTTTGAAAGGGTGTTTAAAGCTGGGAGAACACAGAAGTAACAATTGTGTGTAACTTACTACAGAGAAACTGAGAGATACTTACTACAGAGCAACACTGCCTTAAACATGGAAAAATACTGATTCTTCTTGCACCTTTTGAATGAAACATATGTCAAGCCTACAGCTATTTTCAAAATGACCACTAAAACCAGGATCTGATGATGTTGCCTTCTGTGACACATTTATAAAAAATGAACTTGGTTTAAAGAGTATCAACTGCATTTTAAGTTTTGCTACTTGTTACAGGCATATGCTAATATGTAAGTTGAATGAAAATTAAGATTAATAATTTTACAAATAGGTATAGAGTATTTCAATATAGTATCTATAAAGAGCCTGTGATTTTTAACATTGTGTGAACTTGCTGTCCTTTGCTCTGACAGGACCAAGAAGAGTTTCTCAAAGTGTAAAATAGGAGTAGTTTTGTTCTAATCCACCCTTCCTACAATGGGGTCTTTTGTCTTTTCCTACCAAACTGGATTTAGAAAGACTAGTTCTAATCCCACCTCCTTGTGTGTGTGGGAAGCATCTGGCATTGGACTTGAATTAAAAAAAGAAAATGCCCTTTCTATGCTGGCTGTGCCTTCTACAAATCTACACTGAACTTTAACATTCCTGCAGCCTCAGCATTTCACGGGAGAGCCGAGAGCCCACACATGCTAGGCACAGGACCTGGAGTCCCATGGCCACTAGCAGTCCCTGGAGGCCAGAAACCTGCTGGGGGAGGGGGCCACAACCCCCCCCCCGTTCCAATTCACCTGCTCCCAGCACTGTTCTGGACACAGACAGACACAGACACACCTCACGTTATGTCCAGGGGCCCTGCCCAGCCTCCACAGTCGGCCTTAGTTTGAGCACTTGAGGTGTTTTTCTTTGAGCAGTGGAATTCCATGTAATTTCAAGTAAAAAGATACAAATTAAGGTACTTTATAAGACATTTTATGGCAACTTTGTGATTTTATTTTCTTGCAGAGATGACACTTTTGCAGTAATTTTACATCACTGCTAAAGCTCACCTCATTTCTGGTGCTGGGTACCCCAGTTCAGATGGACAGTGTCTGGGTGATTCTCATGCTTTAGCCTGGTTTAATAGGTCAAGTGACATCCTAGATTTTACAAGTTAATGATTTAATTGGACTGCCAGAGGACCTGAGTGTACCAGGGGATAGAGAGGCTGTTGAACAAGTTTCTTCCTGCTATCCTTGTGGTGAGGCATACACTCCTCACTGGTTCCTGAGAACCTTCCAGACAACCAGACTGTTACTGCACAGCAAGGTAAGCAAACCAGCCCTGGAGGAGATGCAAGGAGTCTGGCACTAGATGATTTATAGTCACTGTAACAGAATGGAAACTTACATTATTGTGGCTGCTATCATTTGTACAGAGTACCACAAATCAAATATGCCATTTTTATTTTATCTGCTTTTAATTTTATATAGTGGCAATACAGCATAAAATACAAAACTTAAAACCAAAGTCAACTTTCACAAAGGTGTTTTAAAGGCACTTAAAAGACCTGAAGGATTGAATGACCAATCAGTAGCACTGATGGCAGAGCACTTTGGAAGGAAGTTATGTTGTGTACATATTAACACCATTTCAAGTACCACACCAGAAAACAAAGATCCTCTGTGTACAACCTACATTCCAGTTATAAGCAGCAAAGCTTCCTCATCTTCAGTAGCCTTGTCAGAGCCATTCAGCTGTCTTTATTAAAGAAATGCTGCTTTTGCGTTTTCCTAGGAAACAGAAGCTCCCAGAGAGGCAGTTGTACTTGTCCCAGTAGCCAGGATCAGCTTAGAGCACCAAAAATACCCAGGCTCAGCTTTTTCAGTGCTCATCCATGGTCAGAGCAAACCATGGCTTTGTTTCAGTGTGCACCTCAACAGCAGCTCCTGGTTCCTGAACAGCTCTTTTCACCCTGACTTGTACTTTCAGCTTGAGCCTTTCTACACCTGTGACTGGAGACATGAGCTCAGGTGGTTGGTACAGGTGTGACAGGAAATGGCTGCTGCATCAAGGCCCCAGAAGGGCTTATCCCATCTCTTCCCAGCAAACAGGGCCATGAGGGCTTGTGCAAGCCCCATCTGCCAGAAAGCCAGGGAGCCAAGTTGGGGAGGTGTCTGTGAGCACCTCCTAGAGCAGCAGAGATGAGCTGCTTTTGGCAACTTGCACCCCACAGTACTTTATACCTTTGTTTTCTTATCTACACCACTTTTTGCTAATTAACACATACTTTAATCTGCTGCTGTCTGACTATTTCAAATTCCCTTGACTACCTATTGACAGAGGCTCCCACAGCATGATTTTACTCTTTATAATGGCCACAGGACGATGCAAGCAGGTTTTACTCTCTTACCCTTGCAAGCTCAGGAGAAACAAACAAAAAGCCCTGCACAAAAATATACTACCATGTAAAATTTAGGTGACCTCTGCAGCAGGTTCAAGTTTTCACTTTGTTTTGGTAAGAAGCAGAGTGCCTCCAGTTTTTCTTTGGGCTAAAAATTTGCTACAGTTAAGTTTAAAAGAAAGACTTCAACATGAAGTCTTCAGTATCAAATTACACATCGTAGTGCAAATTATAGGTAGAGCTCACATAAAACTGGTATTAACTTAAGGGTGTATCACCGTCATTAATAACATGTACACAAATGTTTAAGTTGGTCAGTTATGCACAAAAAATGTTGTATATATAACTTAGTGTTAAGAAACTAAACCCATCACATAAATCTGAGTGGAAAGCCAGGCTGGGATATAAAATTAATACCTGAGTATAATGGTCCAATTTATTCCCCCTGATAAATCACATACATACAAACATGTTTAGTGCCTCATTTCTACATTTCACATTAGGTCTTTCTGTGCTGTAAGAAAGAGACCGCTCAGTACTAGTGCTATTTGCAACATAAAATATTTTATACAAAGCAGCTTAACAGTCTTTTGCAGAATAATCTTTAACACTAAGATTTTTCAATTAAAGTCTTCATTTTTCCTGTAGACTTCAGCATGTGTGGTCCAAACTGGAAAGAAAACCAAAAACATGTTCAGATTGCTTTCAACAGAACCCTTGTTGAACTACTATCTACCAAGTAGTAAAAGCAGAACTTGGGCAGAAATAATTTCCTTTATCACCCTGCTTCTCTGCATGTGGATGTCACAAAGTGAAGGAAAACTTGGCATTAGCAACAACTGAAATTGCTCAGAGGAAGGAGCCAAGCACCTGGCGGAGCAGGGCTGGAGGCAGTTTGGTCTACCACAGTAAAATAAGGAGATGGACACAGTTAATGTTACACTGTGACAACCAACTTCTCTAGAACCGGTTAACAGTGCTTCTGGTCTTACTCTACCCTGCATTTCTGTACAAGTCCGTTTCAAAGCTGTCATAGAAAGACACCATACAAGTCTGAGCTAGCAAAGTTAGATACTGGTAAGAAACTGATGGACAGGTTTTATTAGCCTATTATGGATCAACATTCTATCATTTAATGAAAACCTTAAATTTTCTTAGCTCCTGAAGATTTGATGATCCTTTACCTCAAAAAGGGGACTGAATTTCAAAACTAGAAAATAAGGAAAAAACTCTGTGTGAGTAAACATTGCCAACTCATGTTCTTAATGCATGAGAGATGCTGAGGAGATGTGATTAATTCTTGGGAAATATCTAGCCTTTTAGTTGAGAAGAACAGCTTGAACATTACAGAAATAAAACAGTAGAGGCCAAAAGGCAAGTCAGTCAACATTAATTAGTTGAAGTACTCAAAAGTCCTGAGATTTGTGGCGTGTGGAAATGTTATTTTCCTTAAAACTTAATTCAGAGCAGAGCCAGCTTTTGGACTTTTATGTGCATTTTTTTTGATTGCACAAATGAAGAAAAATCCCTCTTTACTCTTCCTCTCTGTTTCCATAGCACAAGGCTTCAAGGATTACTGACAAACAAAACTGATCTACACCAGGCTGTTTTTTAAGTGTACATTGATAGAGATTTGTATTTTGAATGTTCACTGCTTAAAAACCAACCATCTGAAATAAACTAGAAGCCATTAATAACTTGTGCCAGGAGGTGGACTTCAAATACAATTTCATTTTAACATTCTCACACTGTAAAGAAACTACTTTCATATACTCAGCATTTCCAATTATTAGAATAAACTCCCTATACCAATGAACCACGATCCAGCAGGAATTCTGAACAATTTGTTTTCCAAATTCCTAGGAATGTCTGACATGTTCCAGGATCTTGCTTCAAAGTTTCACCTGCATCAGCTGAATGGTTAAGGTTGGTAGTACCAGGCAAACTCAGCTCAGACTGGAATCGATGGGAGCCCTTAGCAATGGTTTTCTGAATATCAGATGCTTGTGGCAACAGAAAACATTTTTGTTTTAAAAAAATAACAAAACTGTAACAGGACTTTTTAAAGGTTAGGCCAAGACAGTGCACAAAGCTAAGATTGCCACTAAAAATATATGATTGTCAAAAGTCCTGGTACATCAGTAGTGCTTCACAGGGTTTTGGGGACAGAGATGCTGACTTGTGTAACATCTACATATGTTAGCAGAAAGACGTAAGTAGGTTTGCACAACTAGAATTTAGTCCAAGTATGTGTTCAGAATTACAGTACTCACCAGCACCTCAGTCTGTGTCTTTGTTTCAGCCTTTGGAATCACTTTTTCTGTTTCTTGGCTATCGTTTCGGTATCGATAAGCAAATTTCTTTTTGAGAGCTTCTGCTATTAATGATGCAGGATCTGCAGGCTGAGACACTTTAGATTTTGTACCTTCTAAGGGTCTAGAAAAGAAAATGGCATCAGCATCTGTCTCACCCTGAAACAGTTTTGAGTCACAGAAACAAATCACTAACGCTAATCTTGGTACATTGACATTTATTACCTTTTTACCGAGCGCAGTTTCACGCTGTTCATGTCTTTGAGGATTTCTAGCATGTTTGGTACTTCAGGCTTCTTTGGGCCATTTTCCACCACATTCTGGCCAGCGTTCATTTTTTTGTTTTTCCTCTCTTTAATGAGATCAATTGCAGACTTACTCTGACCCAGACCTGAGGGAGGGGGTGGAGGCAGAGGAGGAGGAGGTGGTGGCGGCGGTGGTGGCGGAACAGGGACAGCAGCTGGAGCAAGTGGACTTGACCCAACTAAAAATAAAACATGCATTACAAGTCAGTTTACTTTCCCCTTCACATGTCACAAATACTCAGGTGAGAAAATCACTGTAGTAACTTCAACTGTGTCGCCTCTGCCACCTTTAGATTGTCACGTAACTTCTTCATTCCTAAACCACCTAAGCAGACTCAGTTAAAAGCCACATGAAAATCCTTCTTGAAAAGTTAAACGCATCCTTTGAAATTCCAGTCCTAATTCCAGGTGCATTTGTGTCTTTACTACAGTGGGACCACACATCTTTTAGTTATTCTCTGCCGTAATGTTCCCGGTATTTCCCTTTCTTCTCAGAGGCTGCTACTGAACTAGAAGTCACAATCTGCCACAGGAGCAGCGATTCTTCCAACTTATCATCACAAATAAGGAATTACTGTACAAGATTTTTAAATGTAAATTTCAGAGCTCAAACAGTGCTTAAATTAAAGCTTATTCCAGCTGTCTGAGGTTGAGGACTTTTAGGCCAGTTACTTATCTGTCTCTACTCATAGAGAATCTCACAATAACCTTGATTTTGAGTTCCATGTATACTTTAGGTAAAAATAGTTATAATATATATGTTATAAATATATTCTCAGTAATAACCTGACAAATGAATGAAGAAACCATGTTCTACCAGAAGAGGGAGGTAAAGATGGTAAAATAAAATTTAATTTCCCTAATAAATACAGGTAAAGGGAAAAAAATCAAAATAAGTTTATAGTTATTTCACATGTCCCCACCCTCCACTAATTAAAATTCCAGTGATACCAGGTGATCCTTAAAACTATTTCACAGTTTTGAATATGAGCAGTTCAGGAAAAACAAAGTAACTGCTATCAGTTAACAGCTAAAGGAGCATCTGAAAAATCAGAATATGATTTTATACACAAACATAGGCAAAGCTGTACTTGTTAAGTGACCTTAGGAAAGAGTGACAACCAAATACTTGTCATCTGCAGCCGACAAGGGCCATCTCCTGCTAATCTTTGAAGACTTAAAACTGAAAGGAGTCAGAGGTGGTGGAAAGAGGAGAAAGAAATTCAGGAAAAGAATTATTCTGTTTGCTACCAGAAACAGTGCACCACTTTTGGTTCCATATGGACAATGTGTCTGGTCCCAGAGATGATTGCAGTAAACAATTAATTGCCTTTTCTGTTACTTGAGATGTATATTACATATTCCAAAAGCATAATTAGCATCTTGTATGAATACTTAATGATACCAGAGAGCCTATTTCCTTACTGAAGGGAAAGATTTCAGTGTCAGTAATTAAGTTACATTCTTTTAGTTTGGTTTAAGCCATCATGTTTATCATGAGCTTTGCTCTGAAAGCTGTTTAATACTTCTTTACTCATTCACAGATTCAGAACTCTGGCAGATTTACAGACAAACATGAAGACTTTAGGAATACTAAAAAATACAGAAAATCTGGTAAGTCACTTGTCTTCAAGACCTATTCTGTACCCCTTGGTTATTGTGCCAAACTAACCAAAACAATATGGAGAAGAAGTGCTTGGTGCTGCAGTAACTCACAAAAAAGAATTAGCACAATATTAATTACAAAAGGAACACATTCAGTAAGTAATTTTTGCTAAGCAAATTTAATACCTGTTGTCAAGTTCTGCTGTTCTTGCAAGGTTACAATTTTGGCTATTTGTGCTCTTAAAGAGGCCAGTTCATTTTCTAGGGCGCTGATCTTCTGTAGTGCTTCTTCGTTTGCCATCACCGCGCTCCTGGGCACTGGTTCCTCTCCTGACGGGCTTTGCAAGGACGTTTGTCTGTGTGGGGACTTCCTGGAAGGATGTGCTTCGCCTGGAAGAGGCTGGGGTGTTTTTGACCAAACTTCTGATCTGTAACGAAAATATCGTAACGTATTTTAAAGGCTTTGAAATAGACAAAAACTAAACCAATGCTACCTACAGATCAGGGGTCCAAGCTGAAAAACTGACTTCACAATTGTCTACAAAAATCACTTCCATGAAGACCTTAAATAGTTTAAGGTAAATAAGAGCTGCACATCCTTTCTAATTTGCATCACGAGCTGTGCTCCTTCTCTTCCCCCAGACAGCGTTTTGTACAATCCTTGGTTTCCACAAAAAAAGGAATACATTTCCCCTTATCCTAATCTATTTCTCTGCCTCAAACCTATTGTGTATTTTATTTGAATTAAGATTATCTTCCCTTAAATGTTATTTTTCCCCATGGGCAGCAAATAGTCATTTGCAGTTGATTCCTTTGAAGAAAGAAGAGTCTCTTAGTTCCCACAGGGTATTTTTTTGTAGTATTTGGATTTCTGAATTTTTAATTTTTTTTTAATTTTTCAATTTCAGCAGCACTAGGAAATATGGAATACATGGAACAGCTTAGTGATGCAGAGACTGGTGGTCAGTTGATGGGAAAGTGTCTCATACCTAGTTTTCTAACACAATATTTAGAACTAGAGAGAAGAAAATTTCATGAAGTTTTCAAGAGTCTGTGACCTTCCCTCTGCTTCTCACAAGAAAATGCAGCTATGTCACCTTCCCATAATACCCACCAAAGCTCAAGCCATGTTAAACTGAGGCATTACTGAGCATCTGCTCAAACAAGTCCAATAAGCCCTTATAAGGACACCAGCGTTTTAAAACCATTTATCTCAAGAATCTGAGGAACCTAATTGAGTTAAAGATATCCCTGCTCATCACAGGGGGCTTGGACTAGGTGGTTTTTAAAAGTTCCTTCCAATGCAAGCTACACTATGATTCTGTAAGTAGAATTGATAAGGATTGATGGATTGATAAGGATTGATGAACGAATTATCATAAACTTTAGAACACAAAATGTGGCCATATACTTAATACCTCAATTCTCCATAATGTCGATCCCCAAACTTCTCAGGAATGCCAGGATTCCATGATTTATTTAAAGAGGAGAGTGAGAACAGGGGCTCAGAAAAGCACTTTTTGAAATGGGTAGAATGGTTCCAGGCTAACTCAGCCCAAGTGCCCCATCACTCTGGATTCGTGGATGAAGCTACTGTGGGTGCTCATCATGTTAGATCTGCAGTTGTGCTAGACCCAAAGCAAGAGCCAAGATTTAAGAACAAGCCCTGTGCTCTGACCACATCAAACCAGATTAGATACACATTTAAGTCTTCTATGACACTGACAAAAACCATCAGCACAGCTTGCAGAACTTGCAGAAATTTGATCAAGGAGAATTGAATATTATCATGGATAATGAAATTTAGGTGTTGTTACCTAGACAGGAATAGAGAGCAACTAACGCAGAGAACAGGATACCTCCTATAGCAGCCACCTGCCTGCTCTCCCCAGGTAAGGTCTAAGGACACAGTGGTCTCTTCACTCCTTAAAACCTGCCTTCCAGAAACTCTTTGAAGGAGGAGAATAGCTAAATAGCAAAAGGTATTTTCCACTCAGAGCAGTAAAAGAGTTTTAAGGAGATGTCTTGATTGGAATCTAACACTATGGGAAAATATTATGCCAGAGTTGTCACTACTGCTCTGACTAGGGGTAGAGGAAAAATAATTTGTCATTTAGTTTCCTCTATAAAACTGTATTCACAGGAAAAAAAACCTATGTCTGCAAGGCTGTTTACTAAATTTTACAGTGGATAAATATTTAACAGTAACACCTATGTGATCCTGTCGAAACAGAGAATTTCAAATGCCTGGAGAACACCTAATGCATACCAGCTCCACTACTAATACTGTGCACAGACATAATAAACAGTGCACACTGAAATACTCGTATTTGCTAAGTAATTCACTTCCCATGCTCCATCATAAGCTGTTTGCCTTAAGGTCACTATGTATCTGCAGGATTATTTTAGTCCCATCCCACATCCATCTGTCCCTGCTCCCCCCTTCCCATGCAGACATTTCAGCAAATATGCAGTCCTACATCTTCTGTAATAGGTTCTTTGAAGCACCAAGGAGCCATTCTCCCTGTTGTCTCCATTAAATGTAATAGCTTTACAAGTTCAATCCTTAAACAAAATACTTCTGCGCAAACAAAAGTAGTATCGGACAGTTAATTTCCTTTGTATTAAACAGACTTCAGGAATAGTGTTTCCCAAGCAAGTGCTTCTGTGACTCCCCTCTGAGTTTGTGAAATTAATGTGGTGGTGCCAGAATGTTTGTTACGCAAAGCTTCACTGTAGCAAGTCATGTTGGAGGGCATCTAGGTCATTACTAACCTATTTTATGCTTTCAAATTAAGAACAGTATCCTCCTGTAATCTCTGAAGCCAACAATCTGTGCCCCTCTCTGACAGATTAGTTTGTTTAGAAGAAAAACCTCCTCTGCACAACAAAACTGTACTTTTATTTCTGGACAGTCTGAGCAGCCACCTGAATAGAATGGAATAGAGAACTTCATCCCTTCAGCCAGACTGTTTCATGTAGTCACAGTGCTGTGTAGAACCCTTGGTCCAACACAGCAGTACCTATCCCATCATTCTGGACACAGGTGCTCACATGCTTCCCTGCCAGGTTTTGTTATGAAGATTAAAGGTTTGAAACACAAACCACAAATTTTTCATGTACTTAGCAGACTGCGGAGCCTTAACCAGAAAGGTGAAAAACAACGTGCCAATTACTGGATTGCCAGAATGACCATTGCTGCTAATGAGGAAGCTGTACAGTTCACTGCCCCATGGTAATGACAATCTCAGGAGAACTGGAGAATCACTGCTAGCAATTGTGCCATAGCACAGCAGGCATTTTCATTGCTTGAAGCTATTGTGTGCACTTCTTTGAAATACATAAATAAAATCCAGAGTCTTCCTTGGAAAACGTAACCTTCCGTACGTTTTCCAACAAGTCTTGGTTTCGTAATCTTATTAGTCTAACCTCTACTACTTCTTTTCCAGGCCCCTATCTCTGTCTCTTCTCCCAGCATTCAAGTGCTCTCTGTAATTGTAATGCACAGTAGATTGTCACTGGAGAGAAGTGGTTTCTTCTTCTCAGTTTGGAAGTTCAGAGAGAAGATTTCAGAAATATACCTGAGCCTTGTAGAGACTTCACCTTCTTCTTCAGCAATCCATCCCACATCAGCAAAGGAGGCCACAGCATCTTCTCTGAGCTGAGCAGGACTGCTTCCTTCCGTGACATGAGACGTAAGCTAAATTTAAAAGGCAAGATTAAAGGTTTTAGAGTCAATACTCACAGCTCAAGTCACATTTATGTTACCCAGTACTTCTACCGAGGCTACATGTAACTATTAACATACACATGCACAAAACACATCTGTAGACTTGAAACACTTATTTCTGTCCTGTGCTCAGTCCAGAACCATTTCACTGACTTCAAACTATTCAATCCATTCTGCTGAACACTCTGCAGAAGTTCATGGCTAGCTACGTATACCATCACATGATGCTAATGAACACTAAAAATCCAATGCAAATTGTTACCTTGAAGACAAACAAACAATATTCTCACACAGTTTTCTATACTAACTCAAATACTATGTTTTAAAATTATATTAATGACCAGTAGTTAAAAAAAGACATTAAGGCTGCCAATTCTTCTTATGCATTTTGCTCTGATTTAGTATTATTTTTAAAGTGAAATTCTGCCAAAGTTTCCCCTTCCCTTCAACCTCCAAATTTCTGTACAGGAAGTATGTACATTGCACAGAGGGAAAAGCAAACAAGCAAAGCAATGCCAAAACCAGGCAAAAAGCCAATTCTACCAGCTCAGTAATCACAAAAACTTTGAGTGAGAGGTAGGATGCAATCATAACATTATATATTACGTGCCATTACAACATGCCAAACAAAGGGACCATTTTAGCATGGCCATTAACTTTACAGCTGTTTGAAGCCAAAGGTGAGCAAAGCTTCAGAGACTGGAACCTTTCTTCAATTTCCAGTTAAGTGACCTGAATGGTGATTTGAAAAATTGTTTGGACCATCAATGCTTGCTCCATAGTTGCAACTCAACAAAATGGTTTCAAACCTATTTTGAAATACTGGCTGCTTCCTCAGGTCAGATGAGGGCATGTGTTCAGAGTCACTGGACTCCTGAGTAGCCTGAGCCCCATATCTCAGCAGATAAAAGCTACTGAAACAACTTTCAGTAATTTGTTCTGCTCAGTCTTTCACCTTGAGTTCTGAATCTCCAATGCCCCAGCTTTTGCTTGTATTCCATAGAAACACAGAATGGTTAAGGTGGGAAAAGCCCTCTAAGATCACTGAGTCCAGCTGTTAACCCAACACTACCAACAAACCCACAGCCAAATCTGCATGAGTTGTTGCAGCTGCTCAAGTGCTGCCTGTGGCCAGCAATACTGACAAAGATGGTGGCAGTAGGTGCCAGTCTGTGAGGACAGTCTGCATCCAGCCCATTAGTACTTAGGTTAATTTTCAAGGCAACCCCACTCTGTAAAAGCAAACTACTATGAAATGTTAGCATTAATCTATTAGCATTAATGACTTTGTAGCAGATCTATCACAGTAGGACTGCAGCCTGGATGAGGTGGAACAGTTTCAGAACATCCACATGTATTTTAGTAGTAGCTTCTGATACAGAAGTGTCAGGAAGAGAAAAGTTGTGGGCTTAGGGCTGTTTTTTCCCCCAGGAGTTGTTGCAAACAGCCTTAGAAATTGAGATTAGTTGCCTCCACCTCACACTCTCACTTGTATGAGAGTCTTTATCACAGCTCCCAGGAGTGTGTATTGGCACCATCAGATCATTTGGAAACAACAGGGTTTTTTCCAGGTAGCATCAGCACAGATGGTAATATGTTTATCACATTAACAGTTGTGCCTAATACCATTACAGTCTGCCTCTCTTTAAAGCAGTCTAGAGAATACTATATTGCATACTAGGATTTTTCCTGCTTGAGGTTTCCTTGGCATTTTTCTTTCAAAAAATGAATAGAAATTTTCAAGACCACAGCATTTGTTTTAATGTTAACGGCAATTTAAAATAATCTGTAATACATTAGCCACTTCTTACAGGTGATACAGATTTTTCCGGCATCAATATTACCATCAAAAGATTGAAACCTTTTAAATAAAGGCACTACACATACTTGAATCAAAAATAATTTTCCAAATCAACAGTAAGGAATATATTTACCACTGCCAAAATTCCTGCATTATGAGATAAATAACTTCTAATCCAAGATTTAGTAGTAAGCCTTCTGTTATATTGTGATAAAAGTTTCTTCTTAATTTTAATTCATATTTATATGTAAACAGAATCTGCTTGTTACCCCATATACAGATGTTTCTTTTCTCCATCCCTAAAAACAACAAAGCCTTCCTCAGCAGTGGAATTTGAATTTCAAGTTAATGCAAGATTTTTACTTTAATTTAAAGATGAAAAGCCAATACCCATCTCTCAAAACCTTAATCTGCCTGTAAACACCTCTGTCACTACCCTATTCCTCCAGTCAATCTGGAGCTGAAGATTGAACTGAAGAAAACCTGAACAACTGCTCTGCCAGCACCTAAAACAGAGAACAGGGAACAGAGGCCCAGTTCTACTGGATGACAGGAACCAAATGAATCAGTGCCGTGGCCTGCTTTTCTTTCTCTGGAAACCATGAAGTTGCTTCCCCCACTTCTTCCTTCACAGGCTTTTTGCCTTAGCGTGCATGTATGCTGCACACACAGACACGCCTGAGGGCTGCAGACCCATCCCGGATTTCTGAAGACTACACACACTGTACTGCTCTGGCACCTCGGGTTGGAAGGGACACATAAAGAACCATCGAGTGCAACTCCCAAAGAAAGAAAGAGCCAGCCTCGCCAGTGTTTCCGCCCGGTTTCGAACCGGGGACCTTTCGCGTGTTAGGCGAACGTGATAACCACTACACTACGGAAACGCCGCTCGACAGTGAGCAGGGAAGGTTCCCTGCTCTTTTGTTTGCTCCAGGAACTGCAAAGCAGCAGAGATATTTTTAGACACTTGAGGACAGAATAAAAACTTCTTCTTTCAAAATACTAATACAGTTATGTGTTAAACATTTGGAAACACTTCAAGTAAGACAAATTTGCTGTGATTTTTCAAATTAGCCCAGTAAATTCAGATGTTTGTTACACGCACACCAATTTATTAGGAGACTTCCACTGAGTGATCACATATCCATCAGACAGGAGAAGCATGGGACTAAAACAGAGATGCTGTAGGATGTAGCTGAAGGATGCTATCTTGAGAGATACTACTCTAGGTTTGGTTGAATCTACCTAGGCTATACTGGTAAGTTTAATTTTATTTTCTCCTAAAGACTACATATAAATCTAAAAAATATGACACACAAAAGATCTATATGAACTGTTTTCATTTGTTCATGCTATATAGAGTACATAAGGTACATAAGCTTTGCCACCTCTTACTGAATATGTAAGCAGCATTTAGTATTTAGCAGTTAATTTAAATGTTGACTATGACAAGATACACAGTCAATAGACCTCAAAAATCAAAATGTTTGGCTACTATTATTTTTTCAGACTAGCTGAACAAAAACATGCTAGAAGGAAAGTATGAACGTTACAGGGAGATTCTTTCAATGAGTCTCATACATTTATCATAAGGAAAACATGGACCTGTGGAAAGCCTGCTGCTCTGGGGTTAGAAACACTGATTACATACATGCACCCTCAGATGATGCAAGTAAGATTTGATCTGTTTTTTTAAATAGAGTGACTTACAGCAAGGTTCAGTTCATGGTCCTTTCATAACAGAGCTAAAGCTGGCAAGAAAGAAAGAGGAAGAGACAGCTATAGGAAAGCATCAGTTGCAACAGCACGAAAACGATCGAGATCAGTACTGAACTTGACTACAGAATCTTAATGCTGAGATAAAGACATAAAAAACAGATGTTAGCATCATACTTAACATGTTCAGCAATTTTTATATTAAAATAGTTTAGAGTCTGCACAAACCATAAAAATTTTAATGTGTTTCAAGGCTCAAATTTTGAAATTCCTATTTCTAATTAAATCAACTCTCACAACTGTACTTCTGTTTTCAGGATCCTTTTCTTTCATCTCATGGAAGGTGAATGCTTATTTAGTGTACACACAAAGCTGAAAGAATGTCTCTTTAAGGGTACCAAGAGGCAAATATTATTTTTAACAGAATCACTATGAAAACATATTTATGTATTTATTTGCTTAAACACTAAAAATAATCAGGAACAGATTCCTCAGATATATCTTACCATTCCTTGCAAGAACATGAACCAAAAATGTCTTCTTTTATGTACCATATTAAGAAAAGTCAGTATTATACTATCTGCAAACAAGCATCATCCTCCCTTGTATGGCCTTTACAGTACAGAAAATCAGACACACAAAACTTCACTACCTTTTAAATCAGGCACAGGGAGCCTTCTTGCTGGCAAAACACCTACTAATTACATATTCAAAAGTTTAATCCAGCATGCAATTTGTTGTCCTTACCTGCACAAAACCCCACATCCCTTTATTTATTTTTTTTTCAGCAAGCCACTGAAAATGTGAGATGGTTGCCCCCAGCTTTCTCAGCATAATTTTTTAAGAGAGGCAAAATGTTAGCATGGCTTTTACTATCACACCAATAAGGCTTCTACGGTAATCTGAACTATCTGGTTTTGCTACTGTAATTTCAAGTCTAAATATTGTTCATACATTTAATTTATGATAAAGAAATTAATTTAAACATTGAAAAATTTAGCAGTGTGGAAAGTACTTTATCTTAGTGTGGCAGCTGATTCCTTCCATTCATCTTTACACTCCCCACCCTTGCTCAGCCCACGAAACATTCCTCTCTCTACTTGAATTTCAAACACTAAATTTCTCCAATTCTATATCCACCCCCTACCCCTAGCACCAGAGTTGAAGAGATTATGTGTAACAGCTTCCACTTTCCCATCTGTTCCTGAAAGACTCATTATAGAAATCATGGGTTTTCTCTTTCTTAAGCTTTTGCACTTGCTCTTTACCCTACCCTTTCACCTACACAGTGCTAGCCTTGTATTTTACACAAAAGCAAACAGGGTACTCATGTTATCTTGCTACCAATTTTTTTATTTCTGATAAAGTTGTTTATTTTCCCAAGTATTTTTAATACTGTTCATTTTTACATGCCTCTTAAGCCTAGCTTATAAGTACTGTTTATATAAATAAGTTTCATTTTTCTCTTTTACAATTTTTTTTTTCCAACTTATTTGGAAAAAATCTGAAACGGAAGCAGAGAGAACTTAAATAGGCTAATTCTCCTACATCTAGTTTATCATACTCTACTTTTACAAACCTTCTAGCCATGAGAAAATCCCTTTATCAGTCCAGCAAAACACAAATTCTAAGCTGTTGAGAACACCTACCTGAAAGTGAACTCTTGGACACTGTATAAGAGAGAGGTTAGTACCAATTTTTCTTACAATACTCCGAGATGAACCATAAGGCTTTCTTGACCAAAGCATCTGCGTGGGAAAAAATAAAGAAGCCGTTAAGAGAACTGATTTTTGTATCATCTTGTAATAGTTTTCCCTTATTCTTCCATACCATGCTTTTGCTAGATGTATTTAGTAATTCCTTTCATGCTAGAGTAGGATATAACATTTCCTATATAAACATGAATTCTGTCCTAGTGAACTCCTAACATCCTATCCCCAAATGGGCACAAATACATTGTACATCATCAGTACAGTACAGCTAGGGCTGCTTAAGGTCAACACAGCCTTTGTATTAAGTCTAAAGACATAACAAGACATCAGGTAATGCAGGAGACTTCAGGAGCTGAAAGTATCTTCATAAACACAATATTCGAAGTTTCAAGACAATAAAGAACGTAGATTCAGTCAGACACCTCTTTTTATAGGGTTTCAAGAAAAGCCACTCAATCATTAAAAATCCATAAATTTTTTTTTTAAATTTAGAGCTCTTCTAAAACAGGAATAGTATTTACTCTTCTTAATGGAAGTAAGTGTCAACTACAATAAATATGAAAATGTAACCGTGAAATTCAAGAGCAAAGGAAAGCAAAAAGGAGAAAATATATTGAACTTTTTGTAGGAAAGGAACTTTGTCCCCTGCCCAAAAAAAAATAGGTTCAACTAGACAAAACTGTCCATAGCAGCTCAACATACCAGGCTTCATTATAACTGTTTCTACTACAATTTACATTTCTACTATGGTGTTTCAACAGGGATTAAATTTGCTTCTTTTTGTTATATTTAGAATTTATGAAAGGAAGTAAAATGGGAGTTTAATCCTAGGAGAATACTACAAAACGAGCTGGAACAGAAGCAAACGCCCCAGAGAGAAGTAGGAAAGACTTCAGCACAGGCAAAGGCAACAAAATGGCAATGCAAACAAGAAAAAGAGTAATGAGAAGACTCTAATACAGGGTACACTGTTAGTGAACAATTAGAACACTGTATGGTAATTTTAAAAACTTGGCCAGTGTTTAATTATGGCTGTAAATAAGAATTTACTAGCCAGAGCTTAGTTTTTAAGAGATCACAGCTTCATGCAAACTTGACATCCTGGTAGAAGGTTGCCCAACAAAGAAAACAGGAAAAATCCAGGCTATTCTGGATTGGCAATGGCAATATTGCCTGTATGATAACTGTAGTGGTGCTGTGGGAGTGCATAACATATGGGTGGCTATTTTGATATACAAAGCAAAGATCACTACTCATAGATGTTGAAGTTTCTATTAAAAAGGAAAGTTTATGTTCCATGGTATTAATCCCAGGACATTTCACAAACTTCACACAAACATTTCGCCTATTTCTAATTTCTATTGTTCTTTCCACTGGCTTTACTAAAATGTAAAAATTTTGACAAAATAAATGTGCACTGCACATATGTTATGCTACATCCTCACAACAGAGGTGCAACTCTGCCATGAATCCACACAGATCTATTTTTTTTCCATTCTATAAAAAACACACTCTCTTGCTTAGTACACTGCTAAGCTGTACAAATTTTTCAATGCAGAGTAGTCTTTGATGCTGCATTTTGGTTGCCTCAACAAAGACCTCGGATTTGTGCCTATCACTTTACTGTTTGTTTATATGTCTGAACAAACAGCAGGTAGATCACTGGCTTTCAAAAACAAGTCACCAACAAATAGCACCACAGTAATAGTCTCATTATTCACAACTGATTCTGATTAAAGCAGAACTGTTGGCAAGAGACTCAAAGTGATGGGGCATTGGAACAAATAATGCCAGTCAAAGGAAGGTTTAATTAGTTGCAGAAGTACTTCCACAACAGCAAGAGAGTCTAGACTACATGCTCTATTGCCAACACAAATGTAATGCATTTTAAATGAGCAGCAAAACTTGTTTAGATATTGCTCAGACCACAGACAAGTTTCTGACTACCACTCAAAAATATCTAGTTTCCAAATGCCCTTGGGGCTCTTCAGCAACAATGGCTTGGTGCACCAAAACACTGAGTGACTCAGTTTTGGTAATACACGATATGCCAGGACATTATTTTCAGAAAACTGCATGCAAACTGTGCCACAAGGGATGCAAGTAAAGTCAGTTCCCTGCTCAGCTGAGCTGAGGTCTCAGCACTGCTCTAACCAAGTTCACACAACTTCTTGTTGACTTGAAGCACTAGCTGAGCAAGTCTACAAAATGCTACTTAGTCATACACCCCTATTGCATCAGTGTTCCGCTGTTGTCCAGAACAGCTGAGATTTGTAACGTAACTGTGTTATCTCAAGCTTGATGTAAATAGAGGATGGGAAGAAACAGATTAAAAAACTGTTCCTCTCCCTATTTAGACTGAAAATGCTGAATTACCAGTGTCATAATGCAACATATTCTTAAACTTTGAGTTTTCAGTTACACAGAATCTCAGATCAAAATTCAAATAAAATCCTAAAATACAGATCCTTGTAAATTTTAATTTACACTGTATAAACCATTTCCTCTCCATAGAGTCCCAAGACTGATTAAAGGTTCTACCATAATAATACTGACTAAATACTGCACATAGCTGTTAAGGATTTCCCCATTTTTAAAACATTAAAAAATTTCAAAAACTTACAGGGATTACTGCACTGAGGTCAATATTTGAACTTAAAATAGCTTCCTAAAGGTACCAGTGACAGAGCAGTTGATCTGTGGCAGCTCTCTGTCTCTCTCTGCTAAGCACTCAAAGAAAACCTTCTACATAGTATCCCCCAAGAGGAGAACTAGGCAGGACTATTCCTCTGCTTACCCAGAAAAGAACACAGCTGTACTGATCTTATGTACTGTTACACCTCCAGAAGAGGTAACTATAACACAGAAGTGGCAAATGTAGCACATTTAAAATCATGTCAGTTTCATGGGGCTTTTTGTATCTCCAAGGTAAGAACAAGAAATAAGATTATTTTTTTATCACTGTTAAAAAATAAGATGAAATTCTCCTTCAGCTTCAAAACACACACGAAGTCCAACATGAAAAACAGTGTTTATAAAGTAAACAGTTTATTAGAACCAGAAACAACTGCATAGTACTTTTAACACATTTATTACTCAATATTTCAGTGGCCAAGTCATAAACCTGATGACTTTTCAGCAATGCAGAATCATCCCAGTATCGAGTATACCTCAAGTGTTCTTCCAGATAAGCACAAACTAAAAAACACAAAGTGCTTTCTAGACCTTATTTTCTGAAAACATAAAGGAAGTTTGAAACACTTACTGAATCCATGTTCAATCCAATTTGTTCAAAAGCCATTCTAATTAAGCGCTTCAGCCAGCAAATCATCTGGACTGGAAAAGGCCTTTCCGAACTTGGATTTAAGCCTTCCAAACCTACAAGGCTGCCAAGGTTCCATAGTAGTTCTGAAATGAGACACATAAGAGGTTTAGATGCATGTTGTGGAACATGTACAGAAGTGCTATATTCCTGAAAAAGCACGCTTTACATACAAGACAGATGACACCAAATCCTCATCCTGCAAAGCAAAGGTGTTCAAAAGGCATCTACTTAAAAGTCTTAGGTAACAAAGACTTTTTAGTACTGTCTTTTTTATATAGAATCATAGGATTGTTTGAGTTGGAAGGGAGCTTAAAAGTCATCCAGTTCCAACCCTCTTGCCACATGCAGGAACACATTGCACTAGATCAGGTGGCACAGGGCCCCATCCAGCCTGGCCACGAAAATTACAGGAATGGGGTATCCACAATTTTTTTGGGAACCTGTTTCAGTGCATCAGCACCCTCATGGTGGTACATATCTAATCCAAACCTATCCTCTCTAAGCTTAAAGCAATTGCCCTTTGTTCTATCACAACATGCCCTTGTAAAAAGTTCCTCTCCAGCTCTCTTGTAGACCCCTCCAGGTACTAGAAAGAAATCCAAGCCATTGTAAAGTTAACAATTAAGAAGTTGGGGAAATGATTGCTCACTTGAGCTTGGACAGATGATGGCATTGAACAACTCTAAGTGAGCATCAAGCCCTATGGAATGCCTGCAGATGGGGATTAGCGCTGAGATTGAAGTGTCATACTCATATCTAAAACTCATTTCTATGCAGGAACAGACTGCAGAAAGCCGATCACCTCTCTTGATTCACATTCTCTGACAGCTTTGTTGTTCCTTCCTTTTTCCTACAACTAAGAAGGAAACATGAAAAAATGACTAATGCAGGAAAATGACAGGAAATACTGTAGATGTAAGATGTGAAAATATTCAAGCAGTTTATAAAAATTAGGCAGATTTCAAATTCTGTCAATTTATATATACTTCCATTCACTTGATTTAAGATGGCATTATTTATCCTCTAGTGAAAATAGTGTACTTTTTCTTTAACTGTGTTCTACACCAGTCATAACCTGGGTGCCACTGAGAAGTGTATGCCACCAAAACCAGGAACGGAAGCCACAGATTTAGGTTTACCTTTGTTTTGTGTATCAGGCTGGACACAACACTCTGTGATCCACCCTGAGCAATGTATTTGTAGTATGAAACAACAGTTTTGCTGAAGCCACTCTATATACAGACAGGGATGACTAAAGCAGTGTAGCAGCAAGGAACTGGTACTTGGGAAGTTTGAAAGTCAGGAGATGGAAAAGCTCTGCTGTCTGGAAGTGCCCACAGGCCCTATAGTTAAACCATCATTGTTTCCATTACAAATTTTTTTCAACGGTTTACAGTTCCTTAGTAATAACTTAACTTCTTGTGGAAACTTGGCAGAAACAGTACAACCATACAGTTATCTTTTTTTAGACAGACTTACAAAACAGCTAATATTAGTTTCTCATCATCACAGGATTTTCTTTTGTTTGTGACTAAGGTCGGAAGAAACTATTAATCTACACCAGGAGATTAAAATGAAAACTGCAACTGTTATAAGAAAAACAATAAGGAAGAATAATGACCTAGCTACCAAGGAGCCATGAATACACGCTACAGTCATCTACTTATCTATTATTCCTTTAGGCATCTGCTATTCTTCCCTTACACAGCCTACTAGATGGATCTTGGATCTCACTGCACCTGCTGCGTTCTTAAAACAGGAAGAACACAATGCCCCACATTGGATTTGACATAGTATCTGGCACTTTAGCATGCAGTGACATAAAACAGAGAGGAATGCTCCTTTAAAAGAGGAAACCTGTTCCAAAGGTGTGATTACATGTGATATACTCCACCTCATTCCAAAGTCCAGACTTGTTCAACAAGCAGCATGGAAATCAAAGGAAGAAAAACGAAAGCTGTGTCAAACAAATTCAAACGAAAAAGTGAAAGGTAGAGAGAGCATTGCTGAGCAACTGCAAAGACAGGGCTGACTAAGGAAGGCAGGTGATGGGACTAAAAGAAATTACTGTATTCTGATACATTGGTCTTTCAGCCAACTCATACATTTAAAAGAAGACAGAGTCAAGTTTTCTTTCAGGCAAAGAAGAAAATGTATGATTTTGTTTCTGATCAAATGAGATGCCCAAGTTTAATAACAGAAATAATTTAGACAGAAGTGAAAAGGGAGTGTTAGAACTTCCTCCAAAGAAATCAGAGCAAGTCTAGAAAGTTTTCATGGGTTTAAGAAACTTAAAGACAAACAGGTAAAAGAACAACACAAAACCTGACAAGATAACCAATTAAAAGCACAAAACCAGATGTAGAAAAAAAGTAGCACAACATCAGGATGACAGCATAGTATAAATGCGAAGTAGTAAACTAAAAAGGCAAGCTACAAAATGGGTTCCATCTTACAGGCATAAAGAAATCCTACACATACTAGCAGCAAGAGACAAGAGAGATAACCATGATGTAACAGGAAAGAAAGCAGCGAGTGATATGGATAGTCAGTATGTATTCAGTGTTATCACCTGACAATGGCAGATAAGAGAGACAGGTGTTAGCATGGATAACATACAATGCTGACAAGTTCTAATCATCCAGGACAACAATATCTAGTGAATTTCACCTTGCAAAGTTCAAAAACTTGTCAAAGAAATTTTTGAAAGATTGATAATTTCATAAACTTGTTCAATGGGATTCCAAAAGCCCAGGAATAAAAGAAGGAGCCTGATGACACAAAGCATTGGAAATAGTCCAAAGCACTTATCCTTTCCTAAAATATTAAGGTGACCCTTTATAATTCCAGGTTCTAAGACTTTGATGACTGAACACAAAAGAGCATTCATTCAACAAAACAACTACTTCAGTAAAATGAATATTTATAGTTCACTTTGTAAGTCATTGTTTCCCCTGTAGCCTAAATACTTAAAGCACCTGAGACTGGGGTCATCAATGCCTTGCTCTTGTCAATGATCTGTCAGTCTGTTTTTGCAGAAGAAAGTGACTTAAATCAGTCTGTAAAAATGCAGAGTACCACCCAGTTCCTGGATTAGCTTCCTTAGTTTGTGGCATTAAGAAAAAACACCATGTTTGAACGACCTCCAGCTAATCTATTATCTAAAAGAAAATTGCTTCTGAGTATATCAGATAGATATTTTTATATTATTATGAGTTTATAGAATTATCTCCAGGCAACTTTCATACTTATTTTTTTCAGACTATGTTGCACTATACCTTTTTTCACAAAACTCAGCTATTTCACAATTAGTTTGTGTGCCAAGAACAGACAGGGTTCATTCCAAAAGAAACTGCTGGACAGTGGGAATGAAAGCATTAGCAAATTCTTCTCTCATGTTCTGTATACATGCCATTTTCAGAAGCAGGAGTTAAAATGTTTATTGCTTTTAGTAAACAGAATAATACCGTTTTTAAAACATTGACCTTTGTAGTATTTATCCTCTGTCTTCTCGGTGCTACCTACAGCAAAAATAGTTTAATTTAAAAAAAATTCCATAACTCAATTACTACAATGAAGAGCCCTGAGTGATAGTAATGTTGCCATAAAACAATGATCCTTCTGCTCTGCCTCTGCAAAACTATTACATGGTCATAGACAAGATTACCAAGATGTTCAAAGAGCAGTAACACAAAGAATTACATTTCACTGCATAAAGCATGAAGGGGTTGGAATTTCATGGGTTCATTTCAACGAAACCCAGAAATTAGCAATGCTGAAGAACTTTCTTACAGATACGGAAATATGGAGGAATTCCTTGGTTTAGAAATGAGATCTAAATTTCCAAGCCCCCTGGAGCTTGTTTGCCTCTACTTTTCCTAACCACTTTTGCAGGCTCTGTTCAATACTCTCATATCAAATATCAAGTCTACAAAGCTGAGATAATACCATTTATAAATTATAAAAAGTTCATTAAATAAATATAAACGCCCTGGAGTCTGTATACATAAGGTATAATATGCAGTAAATATGAACACAAGCCCTTTGCCATGCTTTCTAGTGAGTCCTACACATAAAAGATTAAAGGAAAGAGAAATCAAATGCAACTGCTTTCAAATTGAAATTCTTCTATGAGATTTTGCAATGTTGTATTTGTCAAAGTCCCTTTCAGAAAATGAGTTCTTGCTCTTTAAAAGAAATATGCTATTCATATTTTTTTACTGAAGGTTTCTCTCATCCACTTAAGATCCATACAAACATAAAAGAGAATGACTTAATGGAATTGATGGAGCAGATTAGCCTTAACAAAGAATAAACAAAGGCATGAAATCTGAAAAATGAAAGGTGTAGCCTCTAAACTGAAAAGGCATAACATTAAGAAGTATAAAATTTTCAAAGAAGCATGGGTTCAAAGGAATACCAGCCACATAAAAAAATCAAATGCAAAAAGACCAAGCTCCTCCTTGTTTTAGCAAGAACTAGGGCAAGCATATCTCCTCAGTCTTTAAGACTGCCACATGACCCAAGTTAATCTAATAAAATTACATCTATAAGGAAACATTATTAAAAAAGTAATAAAGGAAGATAAAGCCAAAAAAACATTATCACAACAGCCAAATGGGTAGGATGAATCTTCGGATAAAGGACCAGACTCTGTCCAAAACTGACACAAATCAGCTATAAGCAAAATAAAGATGCATTTGGCAGAGGTCATATAGCAGAAACAGAAGTCTGTTTCTTGGTGTGGAAGCTACAAATAATGAAGCACCCTAGTACTAACAGAAACACCTGTTTGGAAAGATATGAAGAGAGAGATAAAACTCAGTGAATACTACAGGGACAATCTAAGCTAGTATTGGTATGAAATTTAAAGGAGGAGTTGAAAATCATACATATTTGAAACAGAAGTCGCCAAAGTTTTCTTAGAAATATAGTCCAATCATATTTACCTATTTACATATTTATAGGTGCAAAACCCTATTAATCAGATTTTATTCATGCTATCCTATCTGGACAACTAAGGTCAGATTAAAAAAAAATAAATCCATGTTTCAGCATTAGTTTAATCAAAAGCCTTTGCTCAGCAATGATCATACCTGCACAGTGCACTATAACACCACTGAGAAGAAAGTGAAACCCTTCAACACCTATAGACCATAAGGTCTATATTATATGATAGAGACAACCAAACAACTACACTTCCCTGCCAAACAGAGAGACTTCCCCACCAGCTGCTGTGAATGTCAATCTTTCTGCTACAGCTTTGAGAGACAACAGCACGTAAGTCTTATAAACAAAAAGGTCTGTTTGTCTGAAAAAGCATTTAAAATGTCCAATTTCCACCTCCAGTTATCTGTGTATGCCGAGTTCCTACACACAGCAATCATATTTTAGCTAGTGATCCCTGCAAAGCACATTATTTGCATTAAGCAACAAGTAACCAAAACTTTTAGACCTAATATGCAGATAACTCAGCTGCCTCGTTTTTATTACCTAGGTAAAAGCCCGTGGGCATCAGAAGACATAATTCCTATTCACTTGATTTTTTAAGTCTTGCCTTCACAAGAGCTGCAGAGCACTCTAAGGACAGCATGTTAATATTAATGAAGCACTGCTGACGCTGTCAGACAGAGATCAATGCACTACGATTGATTTCAGCATTCTACTCACCCTCAATATTTGGAATTTCAACAGCTCGTTACACAAAATGAAAACACGCACCCAAAAAGTTACTTATTTACGATCACTACAGAAGATCCTGAGCACGGCAGCAGTATCACTAAAGGTGCACAAAGCAAGCAGCTTAAGTTTACAGAAAAGAGAAATAAAACCACCATACCCCTTAAGGCTCGTTTTTTCTCTTATACGCCAACTCTCTATTTTAAAGCCTCCTTAAAAGACTTCCTTCAAACTCCTCCGTATTATCGCCACATCATCTTTTATTTACATTATTTCCCGTGACCTGTCACCTTCTCATCACTGCAGTTCTCCTGCACGAACAAAAGCTTCGGTCCAGCACTCCGAGGCGCTTCCACGGTCCTGCTCGGCACCTGCCCTGCCCGGGACAGGCCCGAAAAAGGGGACGGCCCTGCCCGGGGAGAGCAGGGCCGCCCCGAGCGGCCTGTACGTGGTTTCAGGCAAGTTTCCCCTTCCGCACCGTCCCTCGGCCGGGATCGGCCACGCCAAGAGGGGCTGCCCAGGGGGAAGGGGCTGCCTAGGAGGAAAGGGAGAACCACGGGCCGCCGCCGCCCC